TTTGGCCAAGGACTTTGTGGGCCTCATGCTCTGCCAGGGAGGAGGGGAAGCTGGGAGGAAGCAGAGACAGGACACCTGACCCAAACTGACCAAAGGGGTATTCCATACCACAGCACGTCATGCCCAGGATGTAACTGGGAGTTAGCCGGAAGGACTAGGTGGACTGCAGGGTTGGAGGAGGTATCGGTCGGTGCTTGATCGGGCTGGGGGGCAAGTTATCGGTCACCTGGTGATGGGGTGTTGTATTCTCTTCCCTTGTTATTTCCTTTATCATTACTATTATTGGTGGTAGCAGTAGTGATCTGTGTTATACCTTAGTTACTAAACTGTTCTTATCTCAACCCGTGGGAGTTGCATTTCTTTTTGATTCTCCTCTCCGTTCCCCCAGGAGTAGGGGGAGGGCAAGAAGGGGGGGAGTGGGTAACAAGCTGTCTGGCTGTGGGTTAAACCACGACAATCACAGAAAAACGTCCATTTTCAGAACCACATGTTTTCCTAAAGCTTAACTCTTAATTTTAGCACATCTGGGGTGTAAGTTTTGAACATGTGGGACTGACATTTCTCATTGCTACCCTTGTAGTTGATCAGTTCACCTGAAATAGATGGCATACATTTACTTTCACTTGAAATAGTTTTACTCACACTAGGAAAGCTTGCTCTGTAAATACTACCTCAAACATTCACAAGTGATACAGGATGAGGTGGCTACGCAGAGGTGAAAAGGTCACCAGGGATAAGGTCTTTTTTCCCCAATTGTAGAGAATATAGATGTGTACATTGTAATCCCTTATAGCTTACAAAAATGCTTTAATTCAGGAAGAGAAATACCTTTGAACTTTCACACTGAGCAGCACTTAGACAATGAAAACCTTCAGCTTAATTCCTCTGAACTTTGCAGGCATACAGAACTGCAGCCAACATGTGGGATTCACACCATCCTGCATGTCCCTCAATACTTCCTGGTGATGCCTGAAGCTTTGCTAAGGGTTGATGCAAGACTCCTACTGATTATAATCTCACCTGTCCTTCCCCTCTTATGGGTCTGTCAACTTGGCCGCAGACATAGCTGTGTCTCTGGTTTACCAAATGCATTTCCAGACACTGCTGAGGCAGCTCTGAGAACTCCAGGCAGAAAGGATATGGCACGGCCCATACTCAGGGGCAGTCTGGAGTTATTCTGTCCAGTGGCAGAGATAAAGCTTCCTTGCTCCCTAACAGAGTAAATACTTCAGTGAGGGGTCACTTGAAACCAGAGGCTGACTCCTGCAACCCTCCACCACAGCCACCACCGGGGCACATTCCATCATGGCCACCCTTAGCATATCAGCCACAGCACCTACCTCCTCCCATCACTGCAGTGGTGCTTGTGCAGGAGAAAGAAGCCAAAGCAGCAGTTGAACAGTTGTCTCAGCTCTCCAAAGCCTTGCTGTGTTGTGCCAGTAGGAAAAGAGTGAAATATGGCCAAAGTGCATTGCCTTAGGACCACACAAGAGATATTTGCTTCTGATTTTGGGAAAGTCCTGAGGGCAATCCCATGGGAGTTTCTAATAAATACTGGGTTTGTACGAAAATCTGCTCAACAGGATGACTTCATGCAGCAGTTATAGCTCATTCTCAAAACTGTCCACTACTCTGCAAATCACAGAATAAATGTGTTTGAGCAAGGAGCGAACTCATCAGCTAGTGATTTAATACAAATGTGAGTAAATGGCCAAACCTGTGGTCAGGCTGAAAAATCACCTCTACAGCTACACGTATACTTTTAAAATACGTATTCAGTTTTCCTTAACCCTTATTTTAACATGTAAGAGTTTACCCTTGGACTTAGTGTTTACCTGAACACACCACAGTGATTCTCTGGGCCTAACTCCAGAGACACTGAGCAAAGAAACGCCTGCTTAGAGTGTAAAGGCACAACAGTGGCAAAGCCCATACATTCTAGCACCCGCATGCGAACAGTGCTTAGTGTTCAGGTAGGAAAACAAACCTGCATATTTAATACTGAAGTGTGCAAAATGGGATCTGTCAAAACTACGATAAAGCACCACTGCACAAAATCAAATACATTTGTAATTCTCGTGACAGGAGAAGTTGATTTACAGTTAATCAAACAGCAATCAATCAATCAAACAGCAACCAATCAACTGCGTTATCAGAAAACAGGATTTTTCAACTCTGGTTTAATTTCGGGATAAGCTCCTGATTTCTGCTTTGTGTTTGAGTGATTGTGTGAACTGCTGCAGAACCCCTAAGCCTCTCTTCACTGAAGTGCCTGGTGGATCTACATGTGTAGAGACATATATAACCACACAGCATTTAACATAGAGGCATATATAACCACACAGGCATTTAACATAGAGACATATATAACCACACAGACATTTAACAACAAAGAGCTTTGGGATAGGTAAATATTTCCTGGTGTACAGATGACATGACTAGTCTTCTGAAAGTAACCACAAAAGAGAGAATGGCAACCAAAAGCCATTGCAAAACCAGAACTCAGAGAGTTTGTGTATCTATTGCTGTTATTACAACTTGTGAAACCACTGGCTGTAGCCCCAGTCCATTCAAACACAAGCGAGCTGGCTCGGCAATTTCGGGCCTTTCCCGAGGTGGCTTCCCCCCACCACAGCAGACGCACAGACAAAAACAAAGATGGAATTGCTCCTGATCCTGTTGTACCTACTTCAGTCTTAAAGAGAACATGATGAGTCTTGCTTCCAAGCATGCTCAATCCCAAACAAACACTTAAATAAAATGATCTCAGGTACAAATTTAGGAAAAAAACCAATTCCAGTGTGAGGCACTCCTGAAGAAATTATGTGGCCCCAACCAGAACCCACTTGTCAGAAGTTAGTGCATCTCTCACCCTGCTCAGCTGAAGCAGCAGGAAAGAAAGCAAAGATTTTGAAGGACACAGGCATGGTTTGAAGACCTTTCTTTTGTTTTTGACTGGCCACCTTGATTTTTTACTTCATATGCCACATACTGTGAATTTCCTGGTGATGGCTGCATTAAACCCCCTGAATTTGACTCTTTTTATCAGCATTTGACTATACACCTTCCTCAGATATCCCTGACTCTGCATAAGCAGGGCTGTTGACTGCCATCTAGTAACAAGAAATACCCCTGTTAGCATCTGCAACTAGTACCCCCATAAATGCTCCTGACACCAGTTTAAATTGCGGTGAGTGCCAAAGATCTACCTTAAGAGGAACAGCAGCTTGTTGGCAGGCAGGTATTTCTGATGGCAAAATATGCTCCTCAAACAATTCTGTCTTCTCACAACACTCACTTCAAATTTGACAACAAACTGTATCATGGGGCCCTTTGAAAATCACCTCATTAATGATGACTATGTAAGTACCATGAGGTGTGAGACATTCCCATACTGCTCATAGGAGTTACCTTTTTAATTCTATTACAATCTACTCCACCATTGTGTAATCATTCCTGACACTTCACCTTTTGCTTTGTAAAACATTATTGTTTGCCACAGGAAAACACCCCAAACAAACCCACAGATGATATTTTGTTTGTCGTGGGGATCTGATTGAAAAGATGCTATTAATTAACTGTTGTGCACAGTTATACTTGGAAATTCATGACAGCTCTTGGGATTATTGGCAGACAGTTGTTACTTAGGTCTCTGAGACAGCACAGGGACACTAATAAATCTCCCACACGTTCCTGTTAATTAAGTAGATATTAGTCAGCATTTGTGAGGAATAGTTTGGATTTTCTTTGGCCTTGAATAGAGACTAGTGTGGCTCAGTGTGGTCCAGGAGCCCCTATAAAGGAACCGTTGCACTTGATTTATCTCAGGAGGTGGATTTACAACCACATAAGGAGAGGAACTGAGAAGCAGCTTCCCTCACAAGACCCAATACAGTGCTCTGGTTTAGTCCCTAGGCTGAGCTTTTTGCCAAAAGGAAGAGGCAAAGACACTTTCCTACAGGTGGAATTCTCATTTTCTGTTTCTCACTTACTCATTTTTTGTCATCAGAAGTGTCAGATGCAGGGAATATATTCCTTTATAGGTTAAAGAAGTAGAAACAGCTACAAAATTCCAACTGCTTACAGTGAAAGTTTTGACCAAGTTCCTTAACTAGGAGCAAGTTTCCTTTCACAGAGTGATACTGGTAGTTGCCCCTCACATTACTATTATTGTTCTCTTCTGAGCAGAGAGAAGGTCTGTCTCACAAATTGGAAATCTTTCAGAAATTATTATAATAAACTGGATTATTATCTTTTTCCCCAGCATTTTCACTGCAGTGCCCATAGGTTTATATGGAATAGGGAATTTCTTCAAGAAAGAGGTCTTCCAAGTTCTTACCTTGATCACAGAGGAACACATTTTTCCTCAATGTGCTCTTTAAGCTGGGCTGTGGCTCCCGAGTACTCTGTAGGTAAATGTGTTGTGATTAGTGATCAAACTGCTTCCTAAGGAAAAGTTCATCACAGTCAGGGAAACTGCTTAAAATGCAACAGAAACAAACAGGTCTGTGTCAATATTTGCACTTTGTGTAAATAATCCAAGCTGTATCACTCTGGAGATAATGCCACATAATGCTGTATAAAATGCTCTGAAAGGGGTTTAGTGAATTAACGTGCATTTGAGTTTGGCAAGAAAATTGGTCTGTATTGTGGAAAAATGTGAACTTCTGTGCTCCTGCAGAGCATGATCCTAACAACGGCTGGAGCTGCCAGAAAGTGTCCTGGGAAAGGGCTTCACTACTACAAAGTACACGAGATAAGAATGATTTTCAGACCCTGTACTGTCTTTCATCCTATTTACAGAGCTTCAGGAACTGCTGTAAGTGATACACTGGAATATATCATTTTGTCTGAGTAAGTATAAATGAAGCATTCTTGCAACTCTGCTGCTACATCTCTGGCAAACACTCTTTCTCCTTTTAGCAACATCCAGAGTTCAACCCTGGAAAGGACAGTGATTAGTGTTCGAAAACTCAGCTAATAACACTGAGGGAAAGCAATCTGTACACAGGAGTTTATTTAGATGCCCACGAGTTTTAAATCATTCCCCTTTATATCTCAGCCCACTGAATCTCCCATCCAACTGAATTACCATTGGGTTTTACAATGTGATATACAAAATGAGCTGACATTATGATTTACAAACATCCTTTGAGCATCATATAAAACACAACTGTTTCCCTTATTATACAATCATTAGGGCAATGTAAATATAGTCAATACATGAGTAGCTGAAATTGATGGGGCATTTTAAGAAAATAAATTTACCTTCACCACACAAACCTGTTGGATAAAACAAATCCTGTTTAAAGAATGGGAATGAAGTTGTCCGAATGATTGAAAGGAGTGTTTATACTCTTTTGTCACCATCCCCGGATAAGAAATATAATAATACTTCATTCAAAAGATGAGTAATGTCACTGTAAAGTCACACTTCATTCTTGTTAATCAGTTTCACATTTTCTGCATGGAAAACTCACAAATGTACTTCCCAAACTGTAGCCACTATACTCATTTCTGTACTTTTCCATATACTCAGTGTGTTTAATTAAATAAATAAAAAGCAAAAAACACTACACAAATGAGCAGAACAAAACACAAGAGCACATTATAAAGGTGACATTGAAGCTGCAGGTGCCATCATTGGAGAAATATATTCTTGTTCTAACGCCACAAACTTTCTAGCCTCATGGCAAAAATAGGCATTAGCTGAAGAGAATGTAAACTCTAATCTCAATACAGGGCTAAGAGTTTTAATTTGTATTTCTGTCTAAACTTAGGTACCCCACAACACTGCGGGTAAATTTAAAACTTAAGTATTTCTGAATGTCAACATGTGACCAGAGAAAACCTGTTTCTGAGCTGTGAATAGGATAATAAAAGTTATCAAGCGTTAACGTCTCCTGTCCTGCATGCTGCTGGTGAAGGTGCTTCTGCACTTTTGTCATTAGGGCAGCAGTACCTGAGAATGGCAGACATCATTATTACAGTGAACACAAGAGAGGAAAACCCCTGAACTCATCAATGATGTTATGATTGAAAGCAAATTTTAACCTACTCTATTTGAATTAGATGACCTTAAGGGTCTCCGCCTGTTTTATCACTGCACAATCCACAACTCCACACCCTCTTCTAGCACTTGCAGTTTAGTTTCGCTTGCAAAACAGAACATTGACAATGACTGGTGATTCTTTCCTGAACATGTGTTGAATTGGCAGTGGAATGTGGGTTTAGTTCCATTTCTTGTAGGAGTCTTGCTGCTGCTCTGAACGTCTGGGAGAAGAAAGTGCCTTTTTTGCCATGAAGTTCATGGCATTGAATTTCATAATTTTTTAAGACAGACTTATTTTGATTATTTCCATTCTGTCCAATCAAATATACCTTTGACTGCTTTAAAAGGTTGGACAGCTGTGAAATATAAGGACTATGCAATCTGACTGTACATACATACATATTTTCATAAATACATCTGACAGGGACCTTGGAATTAAGTATGTGATATCATGGGACAAAATCACAACAGGCTGTCTTATTTGTAAAATCTAGATGCAAAGTAAGAAGAGTTGGATTCTAGCATGTTGTCAATACACAAATTAAACCAAAAATACAGCAGTAGTTTAACCATGAAATAATTTAAACATATTTGCAAATTTCTTGACAGGAGAAGTGTGTCATTTACAACACTGAAAACTCTGTAACAACCACTGACTTGTATGCGCTGTACTGTAATCCACCCAGACAAGGGTGGTGAGGATGAGCATAGTGGTAGGTCCCAAAGGCAACTCCCAAACATCTTCCTCAGGTGGAGACTTTGGTAACTGTCTGTTGTACAAAACACCAACGCACACAGCTTCATTTCAGGTGGTCATCTTCCTCGGTCCCCCTCTTGGCATAGTCCCATCTGAGTATGTCAGTTATTGCTGAGACACTCCAAATCCACGGAGCAGCAGACATTCCCATTCTGCACAGACAAACAAGCAGCTGTCAATCACCTTACAGAACAAGTTACAGAGAGCAAAGGGGTTGGTGGCACACAGGGATAGATACATCTTGGACACATCCACCACTGAAGCCAATATCCCAAGGTTTTCCTCATTGGTTCCAACAGGGGTGGCTTTTGGAGGAGGCTGACTTTTCCAAATAGCACTGAACTGGTCTGAACTACACGTGAACTAGAAAGCCGGGTGTGAAAGACTCACTGGTCACCATAACAAAATACAGCACCACAAAGGCAAGAGATGATTGGATTTTTTTCTTCCATGTAAGAATGTTAATGGAGAGAGAGAGTTTTGATGCAATCCATGCAGGGAAGCTCTCTGCTAGTCTGAAATAAGCAGATAGTTCAGTTCTTGATTTATGGCAGATATGTATGGAGGGAGAAAACACCATACAGCTTTGGAGTTTAATCCACTGTTAAATATCTTTCTGCAACATCTAGTAATTTACAAAACTATCTTGCATAATAAGAAAAACACTCCACCAAGCAGCAAGACCCAAATGGGCAAATGTTTTTTCTTTTCTTTTTTTTTAAATCCAACAGAAAACAATAGGAAAAACACTGATGAACTGCAGAAAAGCTGCCTTCAATTAATTTAAAACCATGAAGAAACAGCTTAGTTTCCCACAGGGATCACAAGAAAATTTTAGATAACCCAAACCAACATTTTCATCATTCTGATATTATCACAGTAGGGTCATCACTGCAGGGAGCAAGGGAGTCAACCTGCACTTCTGCACTGAGTCATGGAATTAAATACACCTGCATGAGATCAGGAAGCAGAAACTATGACATCCCCTTCCCACTGCTGCTGGGGGAGAGCCTCCATCTCTGAGCTGCGACATGATTCTACTTGTGTCCTTCCTGGGGAAACATTAGTTAGTGCTTTTGCCTCTGATCACCTGTTCTGTAATACACATTGTCATAAACATCCACATTAGGCAGGTGTTAAAATATTCACCTAGCTTAACACTGAGAATGCCTAAAGGGTTCTCCAACAGGATGTCTGGAAGCTGCACTAGGATATTACACATCAGCACTCAGTATTTCCAACAAGCACAGAACTGTTTTGTTTCCACCCTGCACAACACTAAAGGTGTGGAGTTTTCAGTAAGCTGCTGCCCTCATCTCTCATTTACTTCCCTGAGATCTGAATGGGAGCTTTCAACAGCAGAAAGTGACCCTGATTTGATGCAGCAACATACATTTCCATTCCCCTTCTACTTTGCCCATCATACCTTGCATTTGCAGGTTGTACAAGGAGATCCCACCATTGTCCATACAGCGCCACTAAGCCTTGTGATCCCATAGTCATCCAGACAGGTTTTCCTGATATCGTAGGTGATGTTGTCAGCCAAACAGGGGTCACTGACGCAGTGGGGACAGCACTCTCCTTCTGAGATGGCTGTGTATTCGCAGTTGAGTTTTGGGCACAGGAGAGGCCAACAATCCACCTCTCCTTCCTGTAAAAATTGAAGCAAAGCTCATTCCATTTGTTGCCATTTATTAGCAACCACAAATTTTTGCATCCCATCTAATAGAAAAGTTTTATTTTCCTGAAACTGGAATAAAAATGTGTCAGCTCTCAGTTTGGTAGATCAGAGAAATGCCTGTTTGAATACTGAGCTGGAGTTTCCCAAGTGTAGTAGACCATCATTTGAGTGGTCTAAACTAAACATCACCACTGTCTTCAATGTAGCAGGAGAAACTGAGTTCTTTGGAGTTTTTAAAGGCAGCATTAAATACTGGGTTCCAATATTTCCCATGAAGTATAATTTTTGCAGTGATTGCCTTGCAGACTCATGCACTCACTCTAACCCTGGCCGCAGGAGCATCTCTGCAGGATCACAGCAACTGTTTAAACACAAAAATGACACTGTAGATAGATGGAGGTTGGTACATTTGAGAAGCACTAAACATCCATCTAACTAGCAACAGCTAAAATTGATTTGACTGTCAACTCCTAAAGGAACTGTTAAAGCAATACCAGTTCTGTTCCACTGAGTATGTTATTATTTAGCTTTGTAAAAAAAAAAAAAAAGTCAACCCAAACTGTTTAGTAGGTAGAAACCTGGAGGAGAGACAGTCATCAGGTCACTTCTGTAGAGGACTGCTCTGTGTGTCTAAACTTAACCTGCAAAGGCCTGTAGTAACTTGCATTATACTTCAGGTGCATTCAGTGCATCAGCAAGTGCTTCATAAAGCACTACTGGTAACATCACATACATAACCTTACATGTAGGTAAGGGCATTTAAGGCATTGCTGTCTTTTAGCTCTGTATGTTAACCCAATCATAAAATGAAGCAAAGAACCGCTAGCCACAAACTCAGTGTCCCTTGTAAAACATGTCAAGAATATTTGCCATTGCTGCTGGCTGCAAATGTTTCTTTGCTGTTCTTCTGCAAACATGAATAAAAATCTTAGGAGAATATAACTTACTGCTGTACATCACAGATAATTATCTCTTCACAGTAACTTAGCTTTGAAAGTAATTTGTTTCCTGATGCTCAGACACCTCTTGATTAATATCATATATAAAGATTATGTTATGCAGACAGATATAAATGGAAAACTGATAATTTTAATGAAGTTCACTGCTGCACTAATTAGTATATCTGTGCAAAACTTCAAGCTTTATGGAAATAATCTCCAGTGCCTAATGAGGAAATAGATGTTCTTTATTTTGCATGTTTGTCTAGGAATTCCAGTTTTCTTTACCCTTCTACATTTGGTTAATTTTTGCTAATTCATTACATGGTACTGGCTGGCACTCCATTCTTCCAGCATTTGCTGACAGAAAAAAGAACTGCACTGTGCGTTCTGCTGTCACCAGCTGATGCAATTCTAACTGAAACTCCTCCAGCCACATCCATCACATGTGAAAAAAAAATGTATTTTAAAAGCCGTTTGAAGATCAGACAACCTTACAGAAGCTCTCAAAAGCAGACTAATGCTTTAATACAGTGTCAGGGTGTCAAACCTTTTGTCAAGCTTGTATTTTGTTCATTAGAGATACTTATTCAGCAGTAGAAGGAAAACTGATTGTGCAGCTTTCAGTTCTCTCTAAGAGCCTCATCATCATCCCCAGTCTGAAAAGCAGGTGAAGAGGGACCCCTGAGCCTGCTTCCAGGTTTGCTTCACTAAACAGCATAACCTGTGTTACTGTTGCCCCCTTCAGAAACACTTTACTCGTACCAGGCATCGGCACTGCTGGCAGCTGTAGGTCCAGTTGTCCCCACTGCGGTAGAGCTTGTGCCCTGTCTGGTCGAGGCACTGGCTGGTGATGCGGGTGTCACACTCTGGGCAGCAGAAGAGATCAGCACTGGGGTTCCTGCAGTCACACGCTGTCCTCCGGCAGAAAATCCTCCCATCCTGCAAGGACACATTGCCCTGAGGTCAGCCACACACTGCAGACAGCAAGCTGGGTATGGTACATGCATGTGCATCAAAGGGCCGTGCAGCAAACTGGGTAAGGTACAGATATGTGCGTCAAGAGATAACTAAGTTCTTAATGTATTTGATGTTACCACCACTAATGGTGGATCCTGCCAGTTATGAGTAATACCTCAGATACCGGTATTGTTCCAGTGTCTATAAGTGAATGGATCCATCATTGCCCGAGAATACTGTGCTCCTGTCTCCAGCTAATGAAGTTAAAAGAAAACAGTATCTCAGAAGAAATATGGTGAAACAATTTACATCTATGAACTCTTAAAATAGTTGCCACTCTTAACACATTTAGTATTTGTTTAGCAGCATTTTGACTGAAAGTATCACTGTGAAGAAAATAACTTGAATAAATCAATGTACTCAAGTCCTGAAGGTGGTCCCTTTACCTTCATGGGAGCACAGTATAGCAAAATCACAGTAGCATTAATCCTTCTTTGCTCTGAATTTACCACTGGTTCTGTTCCAAATTTGGATCTATACCATACCAGCTTAAAGCTAAATGGTCTTATCATCCATGCAATTCAGTTCATGTATTAAAGAAGGCCTGTATTCCACAGGCTCTCCAAAATATGATTTTGCTAAATATTTGCTTACAGTATTGGATGGCCCATTTGGTTAAAGACCATTAAATAGAACTGTTTGAGATAAACAGAAGAATTGCTTCTGCACATAAAGAGAAAATGATATATTTTCTTTGCATCACAGAAAAACAAATTGATTCTAATTCTAGTTATGAAAATTGGATGGACTATTGTGTTTGAAATTACACCTCTTACTGTAAGTGAGCCAACAGACTAAAGTGCCACACATAGGCTGGGAACTGAAATCACACTTCATTAGGAGATTACTGAACAGTTGTGACATGAGCTTCTTTTGCATTCGGTGCTTGGTACTGGATTAGTCCTTACTCAAGCAAAGCATCCCCTGCAGCCAATTGGAAGGGAGAGCTGTGAAAGAAATGAAGCTATATTCTGCTCTGGATCCCAAATGTACAATTCCTAAAACAACTTCACAACATTGCAGTTTTTCCACATTCTCATCCAAACCTTGTTCTGAATCTGAACTAAGAAGGAAAATTTCCCATTCCACAACATAAAGAGATATCTATTAAAGGGGAATTTATTTTCCCTCTTCCTCTCAAAAAGTGATTACTAAAAAGAGTGACAGGAGCCCAGGATGTCTTTTCCACAGGCAGATAAAATAATCATAACCACAGCATGCAGCAGGTGTGACTGTTTTGGTTATGCTTTGATGTAGGAATCTGCATTTGGCTCTTGGATTTAAGGAAAGCCAGTCTTCATCACAATGCAACATGTATAAAACCAGCATCAGGGAATCACAACATCCATGTCAGTCAGTGCCACCGCTGCATTTACTCATAGTTTTGAATTGATTAGAATATTATTTTCTGTTGTAAAAATAAATAAAATTATTTTTATAATTTCTTGCTTCTTATAGCAGGGAAAGCTGAAGAGAACACATAATTATGGAAATGTAGAAAACATGCCGGGTTAACGTGGATCTAAACTGTTTTGCCAACCACAGAGCATAGGACTAGATTGCCCTATCTAAGGATTCTGTACTTGTGGCTAGTTAGCTACTTTAGTTGTGGGAGAAGGAATAAACCAGCTTTAATTTCTTGCTCAGCAGCATGAGTGAACCATAAGGAAAACCAGAAGTGGCCTGTTTCACCAAACACAGGTCCAGATGCAATGCTGTGAATAAACCTTCCCACAAAAGCCAAGGAAAGAATCACCCTCCCCTTTCAGCAAGTGGCCAAAGAAGAGAGCCCAAAACCTTCTCTGATGGAGAGTGATGACTAAACCTCCATTCCAGAAGGTGGGAAAGCACAAGCAGCGTCCTGAGGGTGGGCATCAAACAGCAGTTCAGCACGCAGCCTTGCTGCCAGGATAACCAGCTCCAGGCATGTGGGGCTGTGCCAGGCATCCAGGCAACCCTGTGCCCTCCACAATGGCAGTCCCTCTTGTCTCCACAATGGAGTGCTGATTAACAGCAGCTAACAACAACCACTGTGCTTCACTCCAATTCCATTTCCAAGCTTTCAGAAAGAGTTTTCAAATTCCCCTTTCAGCTGGTGACAGCACTGGCAGTTCTGCGCTTCTCTGAGCTCCTGTGCTCTTACCTCCTGGGAGCAGCTAACCTTTTATGTTGCCTTTACTCTCTGCATTTCAGAACACTGACAAAGCCTGGTGATTTTGCCAGAGACCTTTTGGTAATCATAATACACTGCTACTCTCTTTATTCTTTAAGCATCTGTGTTTTATCTACAACCCCATTAGTTCCATGCCTTTCAAAAAACATTTTTATCTCTATACCACACTGACACAAAGACTCTTAACCTACAACATCTCATCTTTGCAGCTCTATAGTAGCATTGAGAAATACAGAGAAAATTGAGAAATACATAGAAAGCAACTTTCTTTCTTTTGGTGGGTAATAACATGAAGCATCTTACTAGCACCTCTCTTTCCCCACCTTCCTCACTGAATCAGTTCTACATGTGTCATAAGCATCAGTGGCATGATCACAAAATTATTCTTACCAAAGGAAAAACTGACACACAGGGAATTGCTGTAAAATGTGACTAGAATTTCTATGGAGCCTCAAGGCCAGTCTGGACAGAAATCAGACCCTGGTATAACCAAATCCCCAAACTCTTCTTGCCCTTGGGAACATTCATCTCCTCGGCACATCTTTCTGTTCCCAGCTGTCTGCTTATCCCCAGGCTCAATTTTTATGAATCTTAAATTTGTCTGTGTATTGAATCTACAGGAGTTCAGGAAGATGCCTGTAGAAGAGACATCAAATATACTTAAGGTACAATATTAATTCAGTTTTTAGAACTTACGGTTTTGTAATATTCATAATCACTCAGATGAACAAGGATGGTTTGAAGAAACTGGGTCTGATATAAACTGAAATAATCTCCTGTTTAGCAATGACACTGCTTCGTTATAAAATTTATCATATTCCATGGTATACTACTCCACAAATAACTTTAATGAACTTTACAGTTAAGTAAGGTATTTAATTATTTTTGCACCAGAGTCCAAGTTAAAATATTTTTCAAGATGGGATCTATATGTTTCAGCCAATGCCCAAAATATATCTATCTGACTTCTCCAAAAATAACCATACCAAAAGAAGAGCCAAAATAAAACACATCATGTTAAATCTGAAATGTTGGTTTGTCTCCTAGATAAAACAAGTGAGCAGAATCATTTAAAATTTTGAGTTAGAAGTATAATGAATGATTAGGGCTGGAGGATGTGTTGAGAGAGCCTGGAGCAGAGAAGGCTCCAGGGACACCTTAGAGCAGCTTCCTGTGCCTAAAGGGGTCAACAAGAAAGCTGGAGAGGGGCTTTGGACAAGGGCCTGTAGGGACAGGATAAGGCTTTAACCTGACAGAGGGGAGACTGAGATGAGCTCTTAGGCAGAAGCTCTTCCCTGTGAGGGTGCTGAGGCACTGGCACAGGTTGCCCAGAGAAGCTGTGGCTGCCCCATCCCTGGCAGTGCTCAAGGCCAGGTTGGACAGGGCTTGGAGCAACCTGGTCTAGTGGAAAGTATCTGTGCCCATGGCAGGGGGTTGGGACTGGATGAGCTTTAAGGTCCCTTCCAGCCCAAAGGGATGGAAGTCTGCGATACAGTGATTCTGTGACTTCAGCTTCTGAAGGGAGGAATTTTAGGGATCTGGAGGCTACTTGAAGTAAAAAATATAGCAACTAACAAGAACACGTTCCCTTTGGAGCCCAGTGTACTTTTGGGTTCTATTCACTCTAAAGTCTTAACTTTCCCTTCTGACATACTATTGCAATATAGAAATGATAAAGCCTTCAGCTTCTTGCATCTTCAAAACAATTCGTCTCCCTTGTTCCCCTCAAACCCTCTGTGGCTCATCAGCATTGAGGCATAGTGACTGATAGGCCAGTTCTCATGCTCCGTGCTCAGCTTCTCAGAGTGGCCAAAATCTCATTTTATTTACACTCACGAACAGGCCAGTAGAGCTCTGCTGTGTCTAAGGACAGCTTTACCAGTGCTACGAATGTGCTAGATCAAAGTGGCCATAAATGACCAACCACTTCTCAGATCGTTACATTCCCTAACATCCTTCTGATTTCAATGAGACCATTGCTCTTTTAACTAGTGAGAATGAGGAAAGCAGAGACAACTGTTCTTTTAACTTTGTTATTCAGAAAAAGCCTGGTAATTTCCAGTGGGAAAAACAAGAAGACACCAGATCTCAGTGTTAACTCTAAGGTAGATCTACACATACTATGCCTGACTTCTCCAAAAATGCAGAGAGCTGCACTGATGAAGTGGGAGAGCCAACCTGGGATGAAGAGGAGGAAGCTGCCTTCACCTTTCTTCCCTTCAGAAAACTAAGTGCCTGCTGCTAGGTCCTCTAAGCTCTGGCTTATGCTCAGTCCCTGCTTCTCACCCATTTAATTCACATGCACTCCAAGTAAAGGAAAACACCACCAACAGGAAGATGGCTTGTCCTGAGAGATGAATGATCATGTGAAAGACAAAACCAGTTTTCAACATTTCCAGTAAGCATGCTGATCACCTGCACGTGGTGCTAAAGGGTAATGCAAGAGCCTCATCAAGACATGGCCCACTGAGTGCCATGGTAGAGGCTCAGCAGGGTTCGCCATTATTCAGATGGGTCTGTGGTTGTGCAAAATAAAAGATGACTTCCCAGGAGAACTGCACCAGTGCCACAGCAGAGCTCACCTTTTGCCTCAGTGCCTTGTTTAGGCTAGTGTTTTGCCAATACCATTATCATTGCACTATTGCGTTTCTGACAGAAGCACAGAGAATTAAAGGCTTCCTGAACCCTAGATCACCTGGATCTCACCTTGCAGGAGCAAACGGAGCATCTGTCCTCCCGCAGGGTCCACACTTGCCCATTCCGCTTGAAGCCGTCTTCATGGGGACAGTCTCCAGTGCAGGATGGTCCGGCTGGACAAAGGCAATCAAAGCCTCCTGCCAGGTTCACACAGGCTGAGTCATTCCAGCATGTGTGGGTCTTCAAGGCACACTCATCGATATCTGCAAAATAGCACATTTACAGTGCTTTGGGCATGTTTTTCAAAGGTCAAATTTCATTTCTATATTAAGTAATTACTGCTCATCTGCCTTGCTGCTGGAAGACGGTGCCTTCCTTCTCATTCCTTCCGTATTTACTTGCTTGACATTAAACATTAGGCTTTGTTTGGGTTTTTCTAAGGTTCTTCTTCAGTGTTTGTTCTGATTCCACCAAGAATTCTTAACCTGTCTCCAGCAGCTTAATTATAAATGCTGAGTCTGATGTATCCAGCGGAACTGCATATCAATGATGAACTTGAACCTTCAGACAAGGGTGTACAATGATTTCCCAGTGACTAGAAACTAAAGAACAACCAGAGTGACTTTCTGTCAACTAGAACTCTCTCTCTTCTGGATTTCACATCAAAATACAAGTGCATTATTCTATTCTTCATAAGTTCTTAGCATGATTAACATTTCCCATACTAAAAGCAGTCAGTTGCATCCTTTTCCCCTTGCTGGAAGGTATAAGTGAATTAAAAAAATAAATTAATAAATAAACAAAAATTAAAAAAAAAAAGGAAAGGAAATAAAAGAGAGGCATCTTATGCAGGAAAATGTCTTAGAACAAAGCAAACCAGGAAAAGTATGATTTAACAATGGCATAAAGAAGTAAGAAAAGAATATCATTATACAATAGAGAAAAGTGAATTACAGTACCCAATAAGACTTCTTTTGGAGGGTAAAATATAATTATTCAATGTGAATTTATCTAGGGAGCTAAGACAGTGTAATTTTTCTAGCAGTGAAAGGCATGAGATTGTTAAGCACATCATTAACATCAGGTGTTTATTTCAGAAAATAACTTTGAACTGTTCGTGAACAATATATTGACAGATTGCCCAGTCAACTGGTGGGTGTCTTTTGTTCCAAAACCAACAGTTAAAACAGTATCAATAGCAGCAGGAAGGCTGAAGAGGAAAATCTTCCAGAAGTAGGTGATGGTTTCTATCATGAAAATTGCAGAATTCTATTCTATGAATTCAGAAATTACAAGGAAAATCCACCACATTTACCATTTAAAATGAACTCATTGCTAGTGTGAAATTTATAAATGGTCAATAATACCCAAAAGTACCTACAATTCCTCTCTAAAAAAAAAAAATAAATTTAAAAATTCAATAGAATTTACAAAGAAAAATGTCCTGAAGTCCAGTTTAGGTGGGATGTGATGGTCAGTTGCCCTGCTTTTTTGGATAAGTGCTGTAAGCTCATGAGTCATCTCCTCAGAAAGCCAGAACTTAAAAGAGACATTAACAGTTCACTCCATCTGCTGAAGGAAACTCTCTACAACAAACCACAAAATTACCTCTGACCTGTTTAGCAGAATACCCAATTTCAATTTGTAAATAGTCAAGGAACAAGTGGCAATATTTAGTGCCCTTGGATTTGGTCGTATAAAAACTCAGCCTCCACAGAGCTTCACTCCTGGGCTAACCTATGGGTCAGTCCTTTGCCATAATGTTCCTCGGGGCCTGACAGCATCATTCAAATGCTTCTTCTCCCAGACTTCCTTAAAAATGGTGTATTTTGCTGCCCTGACAGTCTTAGTTGCCAAAAAAGAACATTGCTACTCTAATGCCTGGCTTAGCACTACCGAATACTTGAAAGGTCCACTATCTGTGGTGTAAAAGGTGCTACACTAGCAGAAATTAAAACTTGTAGCTCATTGTTTAACAAGTGCCAGAGTATCACAGGAGGTAAAAACCATGAAGAGTGAAATGAAGAGAGCTATGAATGAATTGGTATGAAATAAATAATATGCAAACAGCTACTGAAAGGCTTGAAATATTCTTTAAAATGTCCCATTTTCCTTTCAATAAACTTTGAATGGTATTTCACATTGAAGACAAAAGTATAAATGAAGCATTCACTTTGTCTTTGGTGATTTCTACAAGCATCATCATCCCCACCATATTAAATGCTGCTTGAACAGAGTGTATATATACATACATATATATATGTATGTATGCATATATATATACACACAATGGATGTAGTAGGATCACAGTGCATTTTAGAAGGGAAGTTTTCACATTTCAAAACTAAAAAGCATTTCACAGATGAATACAAAGCCATATTGCCTACAGAGTTCTATGTAATTGCTCTACTTATGACGCAGAAATCTAATTCTGCTTCCATGTAATTTAACAGATTTATAGAAAGCCAGATGTTAGCAATTACAAAAACTAACATTATTCATATTCTCAGTACTACAGAGCTGTTCACATTGGACAAAGCCAACTTAATTTGTTCTACATATCCAAAAGGGAAGAACACCCTGTTCTCTGTTTAGCATGCACAAAAAGAATGCCTCGTGAAGAGTGACCCAAACAGGTAAATGGGACATTCTTGACAAAGAAGCCAATCAAGCAAAGCTGAGTAACAGTGTGAACATCAATTCCTAGCTGCTGCTCAGTTTGTTCCCTTTTTTTTTAATGTTCTTTATGCAAATGATGGTTTCTTATTATTTTATGGCATTTATTATTTAAAAGTTTCAGACATTAATCAAATATAAAAGGCTGAGACACTGTACTCATTTCCCGCTGAACTTTTAATAGAGCTCATTTCTGAGAACATCCCTTTGGCAGTTTCTTCTTGTCACTGATTCCATTGCTAAAAGTCATAACAAACAGCCAATATTCCCAGTCATGAGGAAATGAAGTTCCAAGTGTAACACGTTTTTGTTCCTTTCAGTTTTTCAGCCTCAAATCAGATTGGGTGGAAGGAGGAGGAAGTGGGGAAGAAAAAAATCCAGGCAAATTCTCCTCTATTGTTAGCTCCCAGTTAGCTTACGAAAGTATTTCAGTTTAATGGAGATCAAATAGATTTGCTCAGATCAACATGAGATCAGCATGCAGATAGCTGTGCAAAACATGGAAGAAAACACTCATATTTAATGTGAAATTTCTCTTAATGACTGGAATCAATATGTCTGCTCAGCTGTTGAAAACTAGTCTGGTTGAAAATTCTGAAAATGTCCAACCCAATGTCTTCTAATGAATATGAAAACTGAATGACAATACCTTGCATATAGATTATTTTTCTATTATTCAAATTCTTGCTCAGCTCAAGTTCCTCACTTTCCCCTCAGGTTTCATTTGCTTTTCCACAGCTGCTCTCGGAAGATGTGGGCCCAAAACTGGAACATTCAATAATGGGCAAGGCAAAATTGTACACAAATCTTGTTTCCCGTTATAACAACACTAGGTAGGAAGATGAAATGTTCATTTTTAAATCAAGCAACTTCAAAGAACAATGCTCAAGTACATATGTGAAATAGCAAGGGACTAAATAGTCTTTTCCTATTGATCGCTTGGCTTCGCGAGTGAAGATTTGGGAAGGGTTGGAAAAAAAGGGTGCTTAGGCAATCAGGAAGTGTCCAACCAGGACTGTCACCTCCTGAGTGATCTTGAGCTACCCATGCACTGGTCCGCCCGCATGCAAGGTTGGATCTGCAGCTACCCATGCACCTTGTCCTACATACAGCACAAAATAACGTATCTTCTCTTGAGTTTGGGGGGTATGTGTAAATTCTTTCATCAAAACAGTATCATCTTCACAGGTGGAATAGGACTTTGCACTCTTATTCATTATATTGAGATAATCTCAGTTGGGATTGAGTGTGCCCTCAGCAAGTTTGCCGATGACACCAAGCTGTGTGGTTCAGTTGATAGACTGGAGGGAAGGAATGCCATCCAGAGGGACCTTGACACGCTTTTGAGGTGGGCTGATGCAACCTCATGAAGTTTAACCATGCCAAGTGCAAGGTCCTACACCTGGGTCAGAGCAATCCCAGGCACAGCTACAGGCTGGACAGAGAAGAGATTCAGAGCACCCCTGCGGGGAAGGACCTGGGGGTGCTGGTCGATGAGAAAACGAACTTGAGCGGGCTTCAGTGTGAATGATTCTATGATTCTATAATCTATGGCAAAAGTTATTAATTCTCCCAAGGAGAGGTGGTAAAGCTTTACTTTCCCACCCCATATAGCTCCTTTTCTAGGAAAAGTGAGGATATACTGGAAATTACCATAATCAGAAACTTGCTTGCAATGCCAGCTTTATGCTATTTTCTATCAACAACGTATAGCCAACAGCAAAGCGATCATTGCTGAGAGATGCCACCTCAAACATTGCACAGGGCTATCATAAAACCTCATTCTTTTACACTCCCAACCTGTGCTGCTTCAAACAAATGTATGGCAACAAGTAACTGGCCATGTGTATTTTAGCCCCAGTGCAACTAGTCTCATTTTGTGTATGGGAAAAGAAAGAAAACAAACCACCTGAGATGTGCTCGTTTCTCAATATACTCTCAAAGCACATTAAGACAGCCTGGTAACACAGGCAGACAAGAAGTCAGGATCAAAATGGAATCCCCAGAGATAATCCCCAGAGATGCAATTTCTTTTTCCACTCTTTTTGGCTGTAACAAGAAGTAATTTGCCTCAGATACCATGAGGGGTCCCATGGCCACTGTATGTGAATGGGGTAGGAGACAAACATGACTGTCCATATCAACACAAGTTCGTTAACTCAGTTTCACTGGAATTTCAAACCAATCACTAGCTTCACTGCTTAGTTTTCAAGGCTATTCAGGTTTTAATGGTATTATTTTTCTACAGCACCTTAATAAATGTGTGCAAGCAAGTCATGCAGTGTGGTACTCTGTAATATCATGATAAGCTGTTGCAGAAGAAAGAATCCTACTAATGTACTAATTTTAACTGTTCTGGTACATTAAACCATTACAGTATAATGTTAACGTGAAAAATGTATGCTGAGCTCCCAAGTCAATGTATATAGAAGTTCACTAAACGCTGTTTTGATAAATCATTTTTCACAGGCAACTTGTCACTTAATGTATTTACCTTGTTTCTAAATTGAAGTTATTTGGAGTCATCATGGAGACAAGGAAAATTTCTAAACAGACTCACTTTTAGTTAGGAAATATTTTATGATAGTACTTTCATGCTACAGAGGCATAATGGTCTATTAAAGAGCACTGTGTAGTAAATTAGATTCTGAATATAGGATTTACTGATGCTTTCTAGAAATATAGGAATGACTAAATAGAATTACCTGGAAGACCTTTCTCTAAGAAGACAAGAATCAGAATTTACTAAATAAAGTAAGAAAGAGAATTTTACTGTGCAGGATAAAACCCACAGACACAGACTCTCATATTAGGAGCTTTAAGAAATTCTATGAGCAGAACAAAACCAAGTCATAAACCAGCAGGTGCTAGAGTTGGTCTGGGGATACTCTGACACAAATTGACAGAAAAGCAGTTTTCAGGCACACAGGAAGATTTTCAAAGAATGGGTCTAGCTTTTTGATTTACACAGAAAAGGGGCACAATAAGCTAAGAACAAACCTCCTTTTCTCACTTTCTAATCTAGGTAACAGCCAATACTACAGCACACTATGGAATATATGAAAGATTCAGCAGTTGATTTTAAATCCATTCAGACTTGAGCCTCAAGCATGGCTGTACCTAACTTTTGTGGGACACTAAAGCACACAGACCTTTCTTTCACAGGCTAGTGAGTCACACCATCATCCAAGCTCTCCTTTCCCCACAACAGCTACTCTAACCTGCAGTGAGATCTGGCTACAGCCTTGCAGGACAAAATACATGGTGTATTTTGTCTCTCCCTCAAACATATCCATAGGAACTTGGAAGCAAGGTATATTTACAATTGTATTGCTGTTGCTTTATGCTGTACCTTGTGATACTGAAATTTGCATTGTTTCTCCTTTATATACGGATCCTGTAATTATTCAACCTTTGTCTAGTTTTGAAAAACTTCCTGATGGCCTCTTTCCTGAAATAGAACCAGTGATCATACTGAAGATGTCTTGACTCCTTTTCTTAATAATGATTCAAGAAACATTCACATGCTTTGGGGGATCATTACTTAGATTTAATAAAGGGGTTTTGGGGAACAACTATTTGCCTTGAATCAGACGTTGATCACTGCTAGGCAATTAGATGCTTTTCAAACAACTCCTCCTGCCAAACCTAGTGACTATTACAATCCTCAGGAAGATTGGAAACCCCCTTTTGCAAAGATTCAGGAAGCTATTTCTAACATTGATCCGAATCTTCCTGTTCTGGGAAGAACAGAAGCTGTAACTTAGGAATTGCAATATTATTCAGGAGGACAATATCCAGAAAGCCAAAAGATTGCTTTGGTGGCATGTTAATGCTCTTTGACTTGGGGTGAATCTATCGAGGCAGAATATATTGCTAAATTGCAAACGTGGCTGTTGGCTCTGCCAGCGTATCGTGGTAAAGATGCCCCAATCATTGAAGCAATCACTGGGAGCATTAAAGTGGCACCTGCAAGCAGAGCAGGTCCTTCAAGACCTAGAAATAAGCCATCTTCTAGAAGAAAGAATGCTAGAACTAAAACAACATGTTAATTCTAAGAAAAGGTGTATTTTTGTCTGTGGGTTTTGGTGGGAGGAGTTAAATTTCCTTACAAAATTGGCACTGATTCTTAACAGCAAAAAAGAAAAAAAAGACAACAACTGACAGGGACTGCTGCCTTGGGTGTTTTTCCTTCTGTGCCTGCAAGTCACAATGCAAAGACTCAGAAACATGGAACATCATGAAAAATATGGAATTGGGAATTCTCCACTCCAGGGTTTGGACAGCACTGTACAGACGGGAAGTGTCTCGCTTAAAGGCAGGGAGAAATTACAAAGCATAATTTAATTTGCTTTTATTTTTCTGCTGTAGGTAGAAGTGAGTTTTGCGGGACATTATTAACTTCCCAGAATACAGCGTTTCTTTGCCAGTTTTTCCCTTTTGGTTCTGATAATCTTAAAGGTTATCACTGAAAATTCAGTGGTGAGGGTTTATTCAATGATTATGTTATGGGGCAGCAATATTTGGCAACACGTACTTAGTGCTGAGAAAAAACAGTGTATGCCAGTATGGTATCAGTAGAGAACAGTTAATACGGGGATACATACTATATGACAACTCCTAGTTGTCTATAAAGTATTTTTGTTTGTTTACCTTCAAGTGTAGCAAGGCTCCTATTAAAAAAGAAAAAACAGCAACAAAAAAGCCAACCCAGCAACTCCAGCTCCGTGTTTTAATGGCCAAGCAAGCTTTGCTAGCACCTTAGTACGGCAATTGTCTTTTGTCTGCAAGCAGTGTTCTTTAAAAGACATTGTGAAAGGCCAGTGCCTCATAAAAATGCTACTGCTGGAAATTAGATGTTCCCTTAATTTGAGCCTGCTCACCATCACCTTATGAAGATGACGTCGTCTATAAAAGTATGACCAGAGAAGTGTATTTCCTTTCCAAAGCTTTGGTTGATACTGTGAACAATAAAAGCATTTTCCCAAGCTTGAAGTTGCCTGGCTAAGTCATACATCCTTATGACCTAAACTCTGGTGCAATATTATGACCTTCCCCCCACACCTGTTGATTTACACATTTGTTCCTTGCCAGGTGACAAATGCCACCGTTTTCTCCTAGTCAATGAGCATAAGGCTTTGAGAAGCACTGAGGTATTCCAACACTTCCCAAATGTCGTTTTTAAAGGTTGTGGAAGCACTGCAGAGACACTGCAAGCAATGACTCAGCTCCAAGACACCTATAAATAAACAGAGAGAAAGGGGGTAACCAATAGATACATAAATGCACCCACAAGAAGAACCCAGCTGCCGTGGCTTTAGGCAATCTGTGAGACTTGAGTGCTCCCTCCCACTGCCTCATGATTTTCATATGTTGTTGTTGTTCTTATAATTTTATATTAATATTATTGTTATTATTATTATTTGGAGGAGAGTTTAATATTTTTTCTTCTTCACCTATTTATTATTCTCCAATAATATTGTATACCTATTTAATATTCCACTCTTTCAGGGAGAAAGAAGCAGCATTTCAAAACACACCAAAGAGCAGTGGCCCAAATTCACCTCTAGGATTTCAGTATACAGTCTGTAAAACATACCAAGACAAAATGCTGTTGCTAAGCAGATGAAATTTGAGTGAATGACACTAGCCCTGACTCTAAATGCTCTGCATGCAAACGAGCTCTGTAACATGATGGAAGCCAGTGTTCAAGAACCAGAGCTTTAGCTAGAATGTGTAGTGTTATCTGTCTGTCACTTTAACCAATCCTTAGTTCCACTTTACACTAAACATTAGGGTTTGAAATTTATTTGTCAGTATGGTTAGCAGTGGGTCCTCACGGAACATCCTTCCTCCTCCTACAAAAACAACTGACAAAGTCTTCTGCACCCTTTACAAATTTCTCACCCTTCATGCTCTTAGGGCCTTATTCTGCAAATCTGATGCATAAAGAGCTTGATACCACTTGCATAATTCTAGAAGAAAATGACAAAGATGCCAAACCAAGCAAATCAAACAAATCAAAGCAACTCAGACAGACCCCAAATGCATTCTCGTATCGCTCTTCTGAACTCACAAAATGGAAAACCAGCTCTTCCCCTCTTGTGGCCTATGATGCTCCCCAAAAAGCCTACTTTCACTTCAGGTTTTACAGCAACTCATGATGATAAATGGTGAAGTGCAGTTAAGTCACACTTTTGCTGTCTCCTTCCTGTAATAACCACTCAAAGCTGTGATGCAGCTCGAATGACAACCCCCACTACATGGCCAGTGGTGCTGACAAACACAGACACACTTGCTTGCATTCTCATTTCAGCCTTAAACAGAGGAAAACTGCTCACGACAGTGTCTCAATAGTCACTCTGTAACACCATGCAGAAAGAGGCAAGAAAGAAAGTGCTCTGCTGATCATTGCTTACCAACACAGGACTCCCCAGATAGAGAGTAGCTTCCATTGTCATGGAAACCGCTTCTGCACTCACAGTGGTACCACCCTGGGAGGTTAACACAGCGTGAATGGTTGTGACACTCAATGATCCCCTCTGCACACTCATCAATATCTGCCTCAGAGAAAAACAGAAGCCAGCCAGGAAATTAATTGCCTTTGACACCAATGCTTTAGGTTTGGTTTTTATTTTACTTTACGTTGTACTTGTTGTTTTTTCTTTTTAAGTCTTTCTTTAATAGATGGATCAAGGTTTATTACGGTTCCAAACAGCAGGCATGTAAAACATAACTCACACAATAACAATACAAAAGAACAACAATACATCATGGAATCTGAGACTCACAAGACACTTGTTTACACCACAATTTGTTTAAAATACAAAGCAAACAGGCAGGAGATTTTTGTTCTCTGTTTGTTTGGGGGTTTTTTAATCCAGAAGTTACATTTATCTGTGCATATAGAGCATCGCAGAGCAGGTTCGCCACTGAAAAGGCAGTTTCAGCAATATTCCTGCTTTACAAACTGCCTGTCCCAGGACACCAGGGAAAGAAAAAACATTTTTTCCAGGATTTATGTTTCTGATTCTGATATTGGCAGCTCTCCAGTGCTTCAGGTGCTCAGAGCGATTTGCAAACAAGACTTAATATCTTTTGTTCATGTGATCAAAATAAGCACCTCATACATGTAGAAGAGCATGGGACAAACAGAAAAAGCAGCCCACATTCCAGGTGCAATAGGACATGGAGCTGGTAAAGAGTGAGGCAAATGTCAGCAATTCTGCAAGGGAAGGCTGCAGCGTGACAAGAACCTGCTGAGTTTCAACACGTGCTGGGTTTATAAAGGATGTTGTTAAATGTCTCTAACACAATTAAGAGACCTCATAATTACCAGTAACCCTGGCTAATCCCTGCTGGCACCTGCCTGCTTCTCTCCTTTGAGCATTTTTCAGGCCATTTGTAGGTTTGTAATTAAATTAGCAAACTAATTATATGTTAACCTTGTGGTAATTTAAGAAGCTATTATATTTTCATTCCTCTGTTTAGCTCACACTATATTTTGCTAATATTTATTTACCCTAAATCTTGGACAGTGTTCAGCTGGGTACCTTATCAGTGAAAATGAATCTCACATTAGTCACAAATATTAGCCCTTTTTCAGCCACTGAGATTTTGTTCTTGGCAATTAGCACATTTAAAATATGCCTGAAACTGTTCACCAAATGCATAAACTTGGGCGAAATAGATTTCTAAACTGCACTGAGTTCTGCAAGCATCAAACATTTCATGCAAGATGCAAGACTGAGTTCAGGTTATTAAGTAACTCCAGAGCACAGCTTTTATCTCAATTTACAAAATACACCAATGTGGTTTCACGGACAGCAGTGGAGACACATTGATGTATGTTGAAAATGATTCCAGTGAAGTCTCCTTCAAGTCCATTTTCTTACATATTAAAGGCAACACCACAGAAAAGCTCGATTTTTCCTCATTTATGTAATATTTATTCTTGTTGAAACATGATTGAGAAACCTAAAGAAATGCTGTTTTCCAGTTTTGTGCTCACCCTCACTCAGGAATGAGGCAAGTTATCTACATAACAGGGCTATAACCACTATTTATTTCTAGCTGTACTCAGTTTCCATCTAACAATAAAGCTTTTTTAATGCTTTTAAGTCTGTCACTGCTGCCACCTTTTCTGTACTTTTTGTTTAGTAGAAGCTAATTTTAGTGTTAAAACCCTCCTCAAATCTAGCTGTCCATCAACAAGGAGTGCTGCTCACAAACTCAGACACTTTCAATTCATTACAGCAAACAGAACTTATAACCATGATCTTTTCACATGTCATGGCTGAAGGAACAAGTTTAATCCTATTTGGAAAGTGAATGACTTTGCTATTGCAGATCAACTGAAAATGAATCCTTCTTCTTGTTTTCTTTACTTTCCCAGTGTTGAATCAGAGAATATTCCTGTTTAAAGATTGCTTCCTTGGGTCAGTTCTGCACTGGACCTCTATCCATTCAATTCTGCATTTTTCATTTACAAAATCAATAGTGTTTTCTTACAGTTCATTTCTAAACTTAAGCCCTTTGGAAAGTGTATTAGATTTAGGCTCCTGGTATAGGATGCTAATTGACTGGTAATTACTTTTCAGACAGCCTGTCTGCCAGGATACCAAAACTAAGAAGCAGTTTACACAGTGGAAGAGCAGCATCAGCTAAAGCCTCTTGCAATTATGTCAGAAGAATAAAATAACACACAGTACTATTTCAAGGCTAGATGACTTGATTGTGGCAGTACTGTACCCATCCATAGCTTTTGTCTGGTGACGTTTGGGGAAACACAAACCAACTTCTTAAACCAGCAGAGCTGTAAAAATGGGACTCGCTTTCAGTTGCAGAGGTTCTTCCTTTTTACTTCCTTGACCTCCTCAAGCCAATGGAGTTACACCAGCACTGCACTGCTCATGCCGGGCAGAGGGTAAAGGAAAAGCAGGTGCTGTGCAGGCTGCTTTGGGAAGATCTGCCATGGGAGACACTACCAATACAGAAGCAACTAGCAAAAACCATGTCAAGCTTCTCCCTGCTATCTGTTCTCCTCCCCCAGAGTCATTCCCAGCTTACAGGAGGTGCCCTGCTCCCCTCCAGGTTAAAACCAGAGCACCTTCGTGCTCCACAGCCCAGCCTCCTCCCGAATCCATGTGTGTGTGATGGTACAGGGAAGAGAAGGCAGAAGCAACGCTCGCTGCTTCTGCATCAAGTTAGTATTTCTTTGGCAACAAGTCTTTAGGAGCACCATGTAATACAATATGCATGAAGAGCATGAAACAAGGAAAACCATTAGTGGCTTCCCTACTTGTCTAATACCTCACAGTTGCTTATTGCTGTGCTTAAAATGATGTACATAAACACTAAAAGGGAGAAAATGATATGACTAGATCTGTAAGCTTCTGTGATGCTGTGCATTATTTGCAACATACATACAAATGTAACTTTGCAAGTATAGGAAAACATTATGGATTTGTTTTAGAAATTCAGAAGCATTTAAGGTGCTTGCAATACCAAGAGGCAACTGCAAATAACAGCTTTATAAAATAGTTTGTCAGACACCGCAACATTACATAGTACACTTAATACATCATTTCCATCTGGACATACCATGGCTTTTGAAAACATCTTTTTGAGGATTTTTTTTTTTTGCATAGGAAGATGTTGCTATATATAATGGAATCAATTAATCTTTCTTCATCTTGGCTTTTCCACCTTTAGATCCTGGCACTGTATTTGCATACATGCATCAGGATTAATATCTTCCTGTCTGTTTGGGGTTTTGCTATAGAATTTGAGCTATATATGTACTATTTGTGTGTTTTATGGGTGCAGGTGCTTACCACAATACACTATATATACTTCCTCCATAAAGTTACGTTAAGCTGAAATGAAAGCATATACCTCTGACCTGACAGTGAAAGCAGCATAAAAATAATCACCATTCTTCAAAGGAGCACAGAAAAAACTGTTCAGAAAGACTGTAATGGCACAGGCAAGAGGAAACAATGGGTGCACATTTTCTGGCTGTGTTCCCATGTTTTAGGTCTTGTTCCCCCTCAATGCTCAAGTGAGAACATGGCTGTCAGGGCTTCAGGCTCTGCCCTCTCACAGATTCTTGCCATGGATGGAGGAGCCTTGGTTTGTACATGTACATCTTCTTCACCTTGTTCTCCCACATGGCTAAGCCCTGCTCACAGTCAGTGAAAACATATTACCAATTACCAAATTTGTGTGGGCTTTCTGTATACTGGCATTAAAAGCTAGACAGTCTAAACTGGAACAGGCAGGTTAGTATTTCCTTAGGAGCTGACAATTTTCCGTAACCTTAACCTGCCTCTGTAGTCTTCGGGTAAATATCTGCACTACCTTTGCATTAAGTGTAATATCTGTCACTTCTAGCTGTAATTCAACATAAGACATTGCTGCTCTTACCCCCATGGACCTATTTTAGCAGGTTTTTCCCATTCAAGCCTTCTTACAAGGTCCATGCAAAAGGAAATCCAGTACAGACCATTCCAATTGCCTGCTTTTATCCCACTCACCTATGTGACTATAATTAGTACAGAAGTATTAATGGATCTGGCAAAGCTCCACTACTATGGCTTTGCAAAAGCTCAAAAAGGGCATATTTTGTGTTGTAAAGGCACCAGTTGGTTTTGAATAAGTTATTACAGGATGTTAATCCTGTCCTTCAAGGACAGGTCTGTAATTTTTACTTTTAGCATCCTAGCTTCTTGCATTATTCATAAAGGTATTTATGCAGACAAGAAAAATAGGATAATTTACCTCAAAATAAAACACAATGGATTCAGAATTCAGTGAAAAAGTAAAATTAAAATAATTCAATCCTTTCTAATGCCTCATCACATTTAAGTCACTGAGTGATAATAATGAAAGAAAAACAGTTCAGTGTCACGTAATTGCTGGCAATCGACAGCTTCAGTGAGGCAGTTTTATTATAAAAGTGTCTGTTCATCAAACCCTCACTGTGCTCTTTTTCAAGAGAAAAAATATTAGATCCTTATCTTTAGCTCTCTATTGATCAGGAGACCTATAAGCAGGAAAAGCTTGTACTAACAAGAAAGGAGCACCCAGTCTTAAGCTTCCTGGATTAAAATCATACCCTGACAGTTAACTCTAGTAGTTCCAGAGCATCAGAGCTTTGGTTTCCACACTGGAGGATTTTTCTTCAACATAAAACTACCAGAAAAATTCAGCCAGCCAACCGAGGCATAAGTTACACATAAAGTACAACCTTTTCCCACCTCCTGTTCTCGCATGAGCCTCACTTCCACGAGACAGAGATAGCAAGAAAGGGTTGTCACTGACAGCACTGTGAAAACAGCTTCCCTGCTGCAAAGGAGTCATTCAAATACTTCAAATAAACCATGAAAGCAAAGACAACTACTTTGGATGAGCAGAGATGAGAAATTCTCTCTCTAAAAGAAAAGCCTTCCCCTGCCTCTCTTTATGACAAATTCAGTTCATGTGAGTGAATAATAATTCTACTGTTTTACATAAACTGATATAAAGGCTGAATTTGATCCTTTATTATTAATTCTTC